GTTCTCAAAAGGCCATCGAGCATCGATGCGAGTGGGGAAACCAGGAGCCGGAAGAATACGAGGAGGAGCGTGTGAGGTTCATCCGCAAGATGATCCGGGAGTCCCGTGCACCGAGGAAGAACCTTCTCCCGTCCGTGGACGAGGAGATGGACCACGGGGATGGTGAGTGCGAGCCAGCCTCTGAGCCGACCGATGCCGCTGGCGCCGCCGCCCCGAGCCGCGCCAAGCCCTCCGCTCGTGGCAAGTGGGTTTATTCGAGGCCGCCGAGCGGCCATGACACGTCTTTTGGTGCTCAGGAGGCCCTCGTGGGCCGCTGCAGCCTCAGTGACGCGTGACGCTCCACGCTTCGCGGATCGCTAAACGCAGATGTTGAAGACGGCCAGGGGCCGCCGGATCACGAGCCACCCCACGGCCTCGCTCGAGGAGCGGCGCGCGCGCGAGGCGGCCCACGCGGGTAGAGCAATGCTGTGCCTGTATGTCTCGTGCGTGCTGTGTCTGCAGCACTTTGGCTTGCCTCTGGCGAGGAAAGGAGGGAGCAGGCGCCCCCTCTCCAGGATCCCAATCTGGACTTGGTGTCTCTTGGAGCCCTGTTGGTGTTAAGGCTTCGGCACGACATAACAAACATCTAGCATCTAGCAACCAACCTTGCGAACATCTATATAAATGTAGCATTTCCAAGCCTTCCTGGGGGGTCCTTTTGGGGCTCGTTTGGCACGTCTTGGGGCCCCTTGGGGCCGTCCCAGGACCCTGTTTGGCGGGCTTGGGCCGTCTTGGGGCCCTCTGGGGGCCTTCCTGGGTCCCCATGGGGACCTCCTGTAGCCCTCTTGGGGCTCTCTTGGGGACCTTTCGGGGCCCTAATGGGCCTCTCTCGGGCCGTCTTGGGGCTCTTCGGGGCCGTCTTGACGCCCTCTGGGGCCGTCTTGGGGCGGTCTTTGGGGCTTCCTGGGCTGCTTTGGACGCTGTGGGGCGTCTTTTTGCGCCTCTTGGGCTGGGAAGCCATGGTGGGCCCTCGTTGAGCGCTCTTGAGCCGTCTTCGGGCCATCTCGGACCTCTCCGTCGCCGTCTTGACATATCTTGGGCGCTCTTGGGGCTGCCTTGGGCCGTCTTGGGGGCCTCTTCCGCGCTCTTGGGGCTGACTTGGGCCGTCTTGGGCCGAACATGGCCGAAATCAGGGCCAATAGATCTGACCGGCCCGGTGCCTACCCCCCCCCCTTGTTGTTTCTCCTGGCTAACGGATCGCGACGCTACGCGCGCTTTCCGCCATCTGGGCGCAAAAGCTGCCTACCCCCCACACCCCCCCTTGTTGTTTCTCCCGGCTAACGGATCGCGACGCTACGCGTGCTTTCCGCCATCTGGGCCTACGTATTTCTCCCGGCTAACGGATCGCGACGCTACGCGCGCTTTCCGTCATCTGGGCGCGGGGCTGCCTACCCCCCCACTCCCCCCTTGTTATTTCTCCCGACTGACGGATCGCGACGCTACGCGCGCTTTCCGTCATCCGCCGCCCCCTGTTGATTTATCACGAGGGTGCCCGGCGTGCTACACGTCTGATGGTCTCTGGTTCTTTTTCGCACTTCCCCTGGGGCTTCGGCCCAGCGCGCCGGGATGCGTCTCGTCGGCTTTTTCGCTTAAGATGGCCTCAAGATGACCTCGAAGACACCCAGGATGCCTCCAAGACGGCCAAGATGGCTTCCAAGTTCGCCCAAGATGGCCTCCTAGACGGGCCAACAGGGTCCAAGATGCCTCCAAGTCAACACAAGAAGCCTCCAAGACGGCCCAAGATGCTTCCAAGACGAAGAGGCCTTCAAGAGGTCCTCCAGGAGGGCCCGAAGAGGCCAAAATCATTGGTTTTTCGTGGGTTTTTGAAGGATGTTCGCATTTGCTGCTGTTCGGCCTTCCCACAGCCCAAGACGGCCCCAGAGGCCCCCAAGATCGCCCCAAGATGGCCCCAAAGGGCTCCGAGATGACCCCATAACGGCCCAGGAAGCCTCCAAGACGGCCCCAAGAGGGCCTTAAGACGGCCCAACAGACCCCTAAGACGCCCAAGATTGCCTCCAAGACGGCCCTGAAGCGCCCCAAGAAGACCCAAAGCAGGTTCAGAGAGGCATCCGAGACGGCTTCCGACGGCGTCAGACAGGCCAGGAACGCCGTAAGACAGCCAAAGAGCCCCCGCAAGAAGCCCGAAGCGGCCTCCAAGAGGCCCAAGGAGGCCCCCGAGATCGCCGCCCCCAAGGGCTCCGAGATGACCCCATAACGGCACCAAAAGCCTCCAAGACGGCCCCAAGAGGGCCTTAAGACGGCCCAACAGACCCCCAAGACGCCCATGGTGGCCTCCAAGACGGCCCTGAAGCGCCCCAAGAGGACCCCAAGCTGGTTCAAGGAGGCTTCCAACGAAGACAGCTTCCGACGGTGTCAGACGGGCCAGGAACGCCGTAAGACAGCCAACGAGCCCCCGCAAGAAGCCCCAAAAGGCCCAAGGAGGCTTCCAAGAGGCCTCCGAGAGACCCACAAGAAGCTCCTTGAAGGCCCCACGAGTCCTCCTTCTCCTCTTCCTGAGCCTCCTCCGCCTCCTCTTCCTCCTCCTCATCCTCCTCATCCTTCTGTCTACTTGTCCTACCTCTCCTCCGCTTCTTCTTTCTCCCCTGCGTGTTCCCCGAGGGTCCACAACGGCTAGGGAAACACATGGTCGGATAGCTTGGCAGAGCTCTGGCCACAACGTTCGGCCACATGGGCGATTCCAAAGGCAGGGGGCGATTGTGATTCGCCGTAGGCGTCTTCGATCCGCCGCCCCCTGTTGATTTATCACAAGGGTGTCCGGCGTGCTAAACGTGTGATGGTTGTTGTTGTTTTTAAGACTTCCCCTGGGGGGGGCTTCGGCTCAGCGCGCTGAAGTGCGCGTCTCGTCGGTGTTTTCGCTTACGATGGCCTCAAGATGAACTTCCAAGACGGCCACGATGCCTCCAAGACGGCCAAGATGGCCCCAAGAGAGCCCAAGGTAGCCCCAAGATGGTCCCAAGGGGCCTCCAATACCGACAAGACTGTCCAATCCAGCCCAAGATGGTCCTAGAAGCGCCCAAGAGGCCCCGAAGACGGCCCAAGAGGCCTCCAAGGGGTCGGGTCCTCCACTAATGCCCGAGGAGGCCCAAATCATTGATTTCCCGCCGGTTTTTGAAGGATTTTCGCATTTGCTGCTGTTCGGCCTTCCGACGGCCCAAGACGGCCCCAGAGGCCCCCAAGATCGCCCCAAGATGGCCCCAAAGGGCTCCGAGATGACCCCATAACGGCCCAGGAAGCCTCCAAGACGGCCCCAAGAGGGCCTTAAGACGGCCCAACAGACCCCTAAGACGCCCAAGATTGCCCCCAAGACGGCCCTGAAGCGCCCCAAGAAGACCCCAAGCCGGTTCAGAGAGGCATCCGAGACGGCTTCCGACGGCGTCAGACATGCCAGGAACGCCGTAAGACAGCCAAAGAGCCCCCGCAAGAAGCCCGAAGCGGCCTCCAAGAGGCCCAAGGAGGCCCCCGAGAGACCTCCAAAAAGCTCCCAGGAAGCTCCCAAGAGGCCCCAAGAGTGGCCTCAGAGGCTCCCAAAAGGCTTCCTCATCCTTCTCCACGTTTTCTCATGTTTCCTCCCGCTTCTCCTCCGCCTCCATTTCCTCCTCTTCCGCGAAAAGGTCAGGCAACGAGAGCAGGCCAAGAAAAAGGGCCCTCGGGGGCGCTGAGTATGCGTCAGCCAGGCGGTGAAATCCCACTCCTTCTCACACCCCACCTACACCGCAATCCCTTCCCAGGGTCAGGCCCTCACCGAGGACAGTACGGCAGTTGCTGAAAAAGCCCTCACCGAGGGATTATGTGCAAATATGTTGGCAGCGCGCCTCCCACCTCTAACACCTCCTCCTCTAGTCACCCACCTCAACAGTCTCCACCTCCAACATCCCGAACTCAAGATAACTAGCACTACCGAAAAAGTGTGCCCGAACTCAAGATAACTAGCACTACCGAAAAAGTGTGCCCGAACTCAAGATAACTAGCACTACCGAAAAAGTGTGCAGTCGATGTCGCTTCATGGCTTCTCAGTATCGGGTGTACGCAGGAGGATCAAACTTCGCGTGGCATCTGAATCCAAAATGCTGCCTCCCCAAGAGATCGAATGTCTCAGCGGCATACATTCCCCATGGTATCCACAGAATCACTGCCAAAACAAGTATTGCAGCCGATGTCGTTCCCTGGCTGCTTGGTAGCAGGTGCACGCGCGAGGTTTAATGCTTCGCATGGCTTACCCCACCACTCATCACCTCCGACTCCCCTGCATCCTCACCGTCATCACGCCAAACATGACTGGTGTAGAGATCCCTCCTCAGCCCGGCTGCCTGGGCGAGGGCCGTGGCGGTCAGAGCGCTCGCAGCGGTCGACACGCTCGGCACGTTGGATCGGCGAGTGCTCAACAGTTCAACACGCGCAGAACCAGCGCCCCCACCGAGGGCGATACAATACTAGTTCCCGGTCACAGCGATGGAATAAACCTCCCCTTACCATGACTCGGGCATCACTCGTGCTGGCAGAAAAAGATGGCCTCTCATACACGACAGGCTTCTGTGCAGGTAGGCTGGCGTGGCGGAGTCAAAAATCAGGTGATCTCCTCCCCCTCCACCCTCATGAACTGATGTACCACCACCTCCCCTCTCCAAAGAGCCCATAGTAAGAGTCTAAGGCTGTTGAAAACACCCCTCGGGGTCGCTTGAATCTACTATAATCTGGAACTGGCAGACCTACAAGTGCTGAGACGTGGACTCGACAGCTTACTAAGAGTGGTACTAAAATTCGACAGAGCACGAATGGTACTAAAATTCGTCAGAGCACGAGTGGTACTAAAATTCGTCAGAGCACGAGTGGTACTAAAATTCGTCAGAGCACGAGTGGTACTGTAGTTTCACAGATGGCACCATTGAGGCAACCATACTGTGCCTCCACCTCCCCCACTTCTCAGATCCCCAACCAAACCATCCCCTCCCAACGCCTCGTGAACCTAGACTGATGGCAGAAAGAAGTGGCCTCCCACACACGCCACAGAAACCTGCAAGACAGCTGAACCAGGCCACCGAAGCCGAATTGGAGCTATCAAGCGAGAAAGCCAACAGGCGTTTGCCCGAATTGGCTGCCTGCTGGCGCTACGTTCTGCGGCGTGGAAGCCTTCAACGCTCCGCAGACCAAATGTGAGCTTCAACACGATTTGCAATGGGCTCCAACGCGATTTGAAGGCGTCACGGGGAGGATGGAGGAAACGGGCATGACGGTATGATGAATGAGTGGACGGAGAGTGAGCGGGTGGCGCCGAACGCACCACAGGAACAACAGGACCAGGTGCCTACTGCGCGCCAGGGCCCCAGGCGCTCACCGAGCGCCAGGTCCCTCGCGCGCGCCGCCAGGAGCAGCGGGCGCATCATCCGCAAAAGGGAGGCCTGCGCGTGCCTGGATGCTTCTCCCTGGCCTGGACGAAAGCCAATCGAGATACGCTCCTCCCCCCCTTCTCGTCCGACCGGAAACGAGCGGTCTACGCGCGCCTGGCTGACAGCACCTCCACCGCGTCGGAGGCGCTCGCCCTGCGGAGGGGCTCGGGCCTCAGCAGGGCCTCTAGGCACGCCAACGCCGCATTGTCGTGCACGCCGCCCATGCTCGACATCGCTTGGGCATGGGAGCCGGCTTGGGCGAAGAACTCGAGTATCTCCCGCGTAGCCTGCGCGAGGGATGCGCCACGGCGCCACCGCACCGACAGCTCGAGCGATCCCTGCCCGCCAACGACCTCCAGGAGCATCACCCCCAAGCTCCAGCAATCTGCCGGCTTGGGCCAGTACGGCTCCTCCAGCGCTGCCTCCGGAGCGACGCACGGGAGAGCGCCGCACAGGGTCTCCCGCGTGCTGAAGTCTGGAACGCGGGCTGCCATGCTGAAGTCCACCATGCGGCAAACGATCCGATTCCTCGCCATCTCTACCGACACGTGCCTCGGCGACACCTGCCCGTGAGTAACATCAACGTCGTGACAATAAGACAGAGCACTCGCGACCTGGGTGGTGCAGTCCAGGGCGTCGTCCCTGGATAAGCGGCAGCCTGGTCGAGTCGACAGCACCTGCTCCATGCAGGCGTCGCCACCGTACTGGAGCACCAGGTGCACATGGGACTGGCTGTGCAGCATGGTTACGCAGCGGATGATGTGTGGGTGGTCGAGGGTGTGTTTCAGGAGGCAGAACTCCTGGTAGATACTCTCCACCTCCTCGGCAGCCGTGACGCTGCGCTTGCTGCGCATCTTGACAACGACAAGCTCGTGCTGCCCATTAACCGCCAACAAGACGTGCTGATGATTTGCATACTGTTGCACCAACTGGAACTCCCCGACCTGGTTCTCCCGTTCCAGCAAGTCCCTGTCTAGAGCGGGAAAGCCGGGCATTAGCAACTTCGGGATGGCATCCCATAGAAGGCTGTCATGCTCGTCCTCGATGGCCTGGCAATCGAGCACTTCCGTTCTCAAGGTGCTCTCGAAGAGTTGCATGCGCCGCTGGATCGCGGTGTTTTCCAGAAGCTCCAGACGAACCTTGTGCTGTAAGCCCTCTGGGTCACTCTCCAGCTCCATTAGCACGCCGCTCGTCCCGAAACTGTAGAGCGCAACCTGGCGTGCCATCAATGTACGGAGGCCGCCCCTGGTCAGCTCGGTACCGAACCGATCTGGCAACTGCACCAAGAAAACAAACGCGTCAGGATGCGCGGCTCTCAGATGGCCCAAGAGACGCGTCAAACCCCTCTGCTCCTGAGAGTATCGTTTAACCGATCCCCATCCCCAGCGGCGTGGCCTGGGCCCCACTGGCCGATTAACCCCCCCCAGATGGGGATATAGGCCGTATCCTTCGGGATTCGAGGGGTGGTTCCCCAACTGGGGGGGGTAATTTGGTGGGCGTCTCGAAGGGGATGGGGATGGGGATCGGTGAAACGATACCGAGCTCCGTCTTCGTCTTGTACACGGACGGGATCACCACGCCCTCGTACTGCTCAACCATTCGAGTGATCCTGCCCACGATCATATCTCCGTGGCCTCCCTCGGGGGCGAGCACATTGGCCGGCCTATCCTGAACACCCAGCGGCACCAGTGTCAAAAAACCGAAGGCCGACGCACTGGGGGCGACCCTCGAGACGTAGGCCTCCACGACCGCTCGGATCTCCAAGGTTGCCCTCTCCATAGCCAACCTGTGCGACTGGCTAAGAGATGGAATGACGGATGAAGCGACACCTTGCAACGTGAACCTTGAGCCAAAATGTCGGCTCGGAGGGTTCGTATACGCTACCCGACGAGGCAAAACGAAAGCCTGGGAAATCACTGGCACCTAGCGCGAAGAAGTACAAAGGGGGAGCAACGACGATTCGGAAATGCTCCGATGCCTGGATTCACCCCACGATGCACCAGATGCCTCTCCACCACAGTGCACCCACGTCGTGGTTTTGGCGCGAGCCGCACGG